AGGACAAATATTTACTAGTCATCATTTGTAGTTATTTAGTTATTTCTTTTAAAAAAATGCATTAATTGGTTTATACTTATAACATTTCAAAGCCATAGGCAAGAATCTGAAGCATATAATAAAACAGCATGAAGTTTAGTTCTTCAATTCACATGAGTTACCTGTACAGTGGTACCTGTACAGTGGTACCTTCAGGTTACATACGCTTCAGGTTACAGGCTCCCTTAACCCAGAAATAGTACCTCGGGTTAAGAACTTTGCTTCAGGATGAGAACAGAAATTGCACGGCAGCAGTGCAGCAGCAGCGGGAGGCCCCATTAGCTTCAGGTTAAGTGGTGCTTCAGGTTAAGAACGGTTTCAGGTTAAGAACGGACCTCCGGAATGAATTAAGTATGTAACCAGAGGTACGACTGTACATGGAATTTGCAACTTTGGGGTGAGAAGCACCAAAATGGATTGACTTCCCAGGTAAAATAATTCCCTTGAATACAAACTTGACCTGTTAGTCAGATTGTAGTTCTTATTGTACCACCTCCTTACTCTGTTGCTGTTGTTAAAATTTATGTTCTCCAAAGGAGCCCAGGGTGACACAGAAATAGAAACATTTCACCTTACTTTTAGCAGCCCTTTGTTTGCAGCATTTTATCTTTTTACAGCTGGATTGCTGAGGCACCACAAAGTACTTCAGGGTGTCCCCGCTTCCAACTCCTGCCCAAATCCTGGGTCACCTTCAACAAGCCCAAAATTGTTCCAATTTACCCGGGTTTGGTTCGGGATTCATTTGAATCCAATGTACAACCCTGGTTGACAGTTCTCTCCTTAAAATGTTAAACTATGCATTGCAACCCCTGTAGTTGGTGCCCAATTTGCATTTGTCACAACACGTAGCGGAGAGTTTTCAGCTTCCACTCTCAAGAAAACAGTTCATTATACTGTCATGGTAGCAACGCTTGGCTGGTTATGGTTGAGAAACTTCAAAGTTTGTAGTCATCATTTAAAAGGGGGGGGCACAACTTACCATCTGTGTTGAAATTTCTCATTCTGTTTCTTCAGCCTAAAGGTAATCTTTCGTTCTTTAATTAGCCAGTAAAATGCATTCTGACCATTTCTGAAAAGTTATTGGGTGGCAGCAGCTGGAAATAGTTAGGAAAGTGTAAGCTTGTATTCCCCCTCCCCTAATATCTATAGTAATGCAGATATATACAGAAATAGAATTTTGTTGAGTTGCCTTGGCACAGTCTAGAATAAGAACTTTAAGGGAAATGTTGTTTCTAAATAAATTATGCAACAACTTAACCTGCTTTCCCCCTTATCCAGAGCATAATTTAACAATATATGATTGTTTTGTTTTCATGTACTCATGAGAACATAAACAATCCAATATGGTCAAATCCAATATGGTTCTGGGTGATGGGAAACTCATCTAAGTTTCCTGGCACATTTTGTTGTAGCCTAGTTTTGAAACCACTGTTTCAGAAACCTGTTTCTGAAACCACTCCAGTTCGTCCCATCCCAGACTATGGGATGAGGCTGGCTGGGGCTGATGGGAGTTTGAAAACATCTGGAGGGTCACAGGTTCCTCACCCTGCTATCTCAGCCCCATACTTCAAGAAGATACTTCAAGAAATTGAATTGGAGGTCAAGGTAAATCTTCTTTTCCCTATAAGTCAAAGTTCTGCAGTAGTTCACAAGATTATTCTTTGGACAAGAAGATGCATCCCATGGAGAAGATAATAAAAGCATGAAGGAATACAGAACGACAGCATAAAAAGTAATGTTCTTTATGACTGCATTCACCAGCTCTATTCAGTTAATATATATTGGTTTCCAGAAATTAGCCATTTCCTTCAACTGCATCATACATGATCAGGCAAATTTGCCTTACAGAGATTTGTCAGTCTCAGAGAAAAGAAAACGTATTGAACAAATAAAAGACAAGTTACCCACCCACCAAAAAGGCATGTGGGGTGAGAGGAAAGAAAATGTCAAGTGCACATTACACTCTTTAGAAACTGAAATGACAAGGTATCACCCAAACTTTATATAGCAGTAATCAGCTTTTGGGTGTTCTAGGCTTTTCTACTTTTAATTCAACTAAAAGTCAGATTGTCAAAGGCTTTCACACCTGTATAATATTATCCCATTTACAATCAATATTTTTTAAAAAGGAAAGTGACGACGTATGTTTTGATTTAGGAATGAGGGAGTGAATCCTTTTTATTTTGTATTTTAAGTAAAGCTTATCAAAATTAGGAATACTACTCTAGTTTAATACTCTCGTTTAACATGAATAATAATAATAATAATAATAATAATTTGTACCCCACCCATCTGGCTGGGCTTCCCCAGCCACTCTGGGCGGCTTCCAAAAAAAATATTAAAATACTCTAATACATCAAACATTAAAAGCTTCCCTGAACAGGGCTGCCTTCAGATGTCTTCTAAAAGTCTGGTAGTTGTTGTTCTCTTTGACATCTGGTGGGAGGGCGTTCCACAGGGCGGGTGCCACTACCAAGAAGGCCCTCTGCCTGGTTCCCTGTAACTTGGCTTCTCGCAGTGAGGGAACCGCCAGAAGGCCCTTGGAGCTGGACCTCAGTGTCCGGGTAGAACGATGGGGGTGGAGATGCTCCTTCAGATGTGTGCTGGTTCACGCTACTCAAAAGACCACACTTTGCTCCTTCACAGCTCCTTCCTTCAGCATGCTGGGGAGAAAAGGAACCAGAGACTGCCTTACCATTCCAAGCTAGCCTGTGGTTGTGGTTTGTTTCTCTCCTAACAAACCATGATGGTAATTGGTTTGTCATGGTGGTTTGCCAGGAGAAAAACAAACCAAAAGTGCTGATCTCCACTTGTAATGGCAAGCTATAGATCATTCAACTGTTATGATAAGAACAAGAAGAATTTTACATCATTGAGAAAGATGTGGCATTATAATATAAATTGATGATAGCTGTCAGATCAGGGAGGACTTATGAATCATCCACATAATTTTTAAAAAGACTATTTCCAAACTGTATAGTGAAAACAATTGTAATGCCTGTTAAGCTTTTTACATGCTGTCATATAACAGAAAGGTTAACACAAAAATTTGGGGTTCAAATTGAAATCAGATTGCATTGCTCCCAGGTGCTGGTAAAATAGAAATAAACTATAGGAACATAATTTTCAATTTTGAAATAAACAACATGTTTATTTTTCACTGAGAGGGGAGTAATTCACTAATGGTAACTTTACCATGCTAATGGAAAGCCCCAGATTAAAAACAATACAACATCACCTGGTAGGATTGTTCTGAATCCATTCAGAATAAAGATAATGTGTCCTGGCTCCACTCTAAGGGAAATAAAAGAATTTAAAATTGTGGTTCCCTAGTCACTGGAGTGCCAAGTGTTTGTACCATCAACATTTATTCAGCCCATTTCTGTGTACTCAGGGTGGAAGGAGGGTCATTTTTACCAGAAAGTCTTCTCCATATCTTTCTATAACACTCCTAAATACATGCAGAACCGGACTCTGTTTACCACTCCTGATTCACCAAGTCTGCTGAAGGGTTTTACTCCCACTGTACTTATATTCCAAATATTTCTAATCACTGTCACCATATACCTGTACTATACTATTTACCAAAGCTGTAATCTCATAACTCAGTAACTGCGGTACAAAATGAGCCAGGCTTTTAAAGTATACATAAGAAGCAAAATGCTTTTTAAATTTATGATTATCTATAAAGATGCAATGAGGGAAACGCTTAAACCACTTTAAGAGGTTAGTGTTTCTTTACGACTTAATGCTTGCTCTTATAAGGTTACTGTTACTTTAAATGTCCATTAATTGAAAATACAGAAGCTGACACAGGACGGGCTTGTACAGCTTAGTTCTTCTTGTCAGACATATGCAAGTTGCCGTGAGTCAGTCAGTCTCATCATCACTAGGTAGGTATAGAGGTATTCTGCTGGTTTTCTATGAGCCAGGCTTGCAGGAAGTTATTTTTCTTGTCAGCTCCAGAGAATACTTTCTGAACTCTTCTTAACTTTAATGGTATCTCTGCCAATCTTTGGCTTAAGCAAGTAATTCATCTCTTCTATGTTTTCGGGCTTTTCCTAGCCTCTTCAATAGCTTCCTCCTCCTTCTATACCTGGTTAGCAGTCTCTCCAGTCTTCCTAATCTAAGACAGTGACGGAACTGCTCAATTTATGTTACAGCCAGCCTACCCTTCAACCAACCAGATTTGAATGGCATGGAATTCTTCCTGCTCAGATGTCTTCTTTCCCTGTCCAGTGAGTGTACAAGGATTTTTACGCAACTAACCAATCAGAAGTGAAATTTTACAGTCCTCTAGCAAAGCACAAAAGGAACCCAGCTTCTCAAGTTAGTCTGATGCAACTAAGTAATTGCCAGCCACCAATGGATACTTAGTATTTCAAAGGTAACCCTATATATAACCCCACAAATACAGTAACTGTTATACACGGCATGTAAAATTACCGTATTTTTTGCTCCATATGACACACCTTTTCCCTCCTAAAAAGCAAGGGAAAATGTGTGTGCATCTTATGGAGCAAATGCAGGGGGGAGTTGCAGGCTTTTCCCCAGGAGGGAGAAGGGACTGACTGGCCGCCCTTTAAAGAGCGCGCAGCTCCTGCAGGCTTTTCTACGAGGTGGGAGAAGGGACTGACGCAGCCAGTCAGTCCCTTCTCCCTCCTCAGGGAAAAGCCCCCAAGAGCGGTGCGCTCTTTAAAGAGTGTGCGGCTTCGGCGGGCTTCTGCAGGAGGTGGGGGAATTCCCCCACTTCCTAGAAAAGCCAGTAGAAGCCGCACAGCCCCTTTAAAGAGCGCGTGGCTTCTGTGGGAGGTGGGGAATACTCCCAGAGCTTGTCGGGGCTGGTGGGGGAAGCCTGGGCTTCCCCCGCCAACCCTGATAAGCTCCTGAGCAGCTCTGGGGTAGCCCACGAAGCCTCTGCAGGGCAGCAGTGAGCCTTCATCCTGCTGCCCCGCAGAGGCGCTCTTGGGGGCTTTTCCCTGAGGAGGGAGAAGGGCAGCCCATCACTGACTGGCTGCCCTTCTCCCTCCTCAGGGAAAAGCATCCAAGAGCCACACACATATTCCACGTGGCTTGTGAAAGGGAGCGCTGAGCAGAACCTGGGATGGATAGAGGCTCTGCTCAGCGCTCCCTTTAAATAATATTTTTTTTCTTGAATTCCCCCCAAAAAACTAGGTGTGCCCTATAGTCCGGTGCGCCCTATGGAGCGAAAAATATGCTAACCCCCATCTCAGGAAGCACAGCTTAAAAGGTAATCTCTCCAAATGGACATATTAGCAGGATGCCCACCAAATATGTACGTATGGAAATATGTATTGAAATATGCCCTAGAAATGGATGAGTCCTTGCATAACACAGTCTGCTGTGAGATTTTTATTTGCCCCAAATGTTGGAGAATGTGTGTCTGAGCTGTCATGCTGTGCCAGTATTTATTTTGGACCATTTTTAGCCTGTAAGCATGGCAGTCTTTGCCTCTTCGTTTGTTTCTCAGGTCTGTTTGTTGTTAAGAATGCAAACAGAGTTGAGATGAGAATGGGATAAAAGTGTCATAGTGCTCTTTCCCCAATGCAGCGAGGAAGGAGGGCAATTGTGGGTGAGGAGGTCTCTCCCCTTAGTGAAAGACTGCTGACTGGCTATTATTTCCCTTGCAGCTTTCAGACAATGCTCCTAAGAAGATTATGACGACAGACAGACCAGCAGAAGTGTGTGACCTTGCAGATTTAGAAGATCTGAAGATCACCTGGGTAGATTTCTGGAACAGAGGAATTTCTTGCAAAACTTCTCAGTGTGATTTCACATTTTCCCTTTTTCTTGAACATTTAGGCCTGATCAAAAATGTTCACAGACTATATATTGGCATATATTTAAAATGATAATTGAAAAATGCAGCCTGATGACTTATAAACATACAAAGGTGTTTAATAAGCTATTTACTGCTAGGTAAGTCTGGCAATATTTCTTTCCTTTTAAAAAGCATGTTAGTTTATCCAGCAGGAATCAAATGTGAAGCAGGGCACTGTCCGGCATGCATTAGTAATTTACATGACAATGACAAGAGCAAGATTTTTCTTTGAGACGAAATTTGAAACAAAGGCTTAAACAGCGAAGAAACATTAGGAATAATTTATGATGGCAGATGGTGATGAAGCTGTACAATACTGTCTGACGGGAATGCAGAATTGATCCTACCATTTCCTGGACAGAGTAATGAAGCCATTCATCTCTGAGCAGTCTTAGGGAGAAGCTTCCTGTAAAGATATGAATGAAATCCAGACAAGGCCAGTATGCAAAATTCAGCTTGACCTGTATGAATATGAGCATTTTCGAATGCTTTCAAGGCAATTACATGTCCATGTTTGAATACATGACACATAAACCTAAGTCTCCTTTTTGGTATCAGAAGACAGAAGAGAGACATAGCCCTACCCCTGCATAGAGATGTAAAATTTCTGGAAATTTTGAAGCCATGAGAAAAAAAAAGTTTTTCCTCCTGTTTTTTTCCGAGAAAAATTGAAATTTTGGAAAAATTGAAAAAAAAGTTCAGTGTGGAGTAGTTTTGTAAATTGCATGTAACGCAGTGTATATAAAAGTATTATGCTTGCAGCAAAACAGGTAACCAGCCCCCTTTCCCTCAGAAGCAACAAAAAAGCTAGAAACCATCAACATAAAAAATAATCAGATTTGCCCCTTAGCACCAACATCAAATAAAGTTAAGAGCCACCTCAATATTTAAGCTCCATAGAAGGTCTACCCTTTGAGTAGTGCTTAAAAAAACAACAACAGAAGACACAACATATACATGCAGTTTATTCTATCTCATTTTCTGAACTACTGCTATCATTTTCCATTTCTTCTTCCTCTTTGTCATTTTTCTCATGGACTTCTAAAAAACAGCTTTGGGGAAAAATGGGGGGAAATCTGTCCCCCCCCCCATTTTTCCATTTTTTCCCCCCAGGCCTTCCCATCTCTACTTGAGGACAGCCGGGGCAAAGCATAAGGCAACTTTTTTGCATGCCAGGCCCAGAAGGAACCAAGATCCAGTTACTGAATAGTATGCTACACTAAGGCTCCAACTCTGTCTGAAAGGAAAAGGAGTGTGTGTTTTTTAAATTAATTTGTTATTCTATATTATAAACCGCATGAAGGTAAGAGAGCTTCTAAACAGTTTACAAAAATATACCACAGAACATTAAAATGATTGATAAAACACAGTTAAAAGCAGGTATTCAAAAGATGATTAAAGTCAGCAGCGGTTAAAAGAAAGTAAATCACATGCAACTTCTATGTGTTCAGATGGGTTGGCCCTAACGAAAATGTTTTGAGCAGTTGCCTGAAAGAGTACAGTGAGAGCACCTGCCTGGTGTCAGTCCGCAGGGAGCTCCGAAGTGTGGGTGCTGGAAGGCCTGGGGAAATAATGGAAAAATTGGGGGTGGGGGACAGGTTTCCCCCCCCAAAGCCATTTTTTCAGGGAAAAGGGTGTGTGTGTGGCATATTCAAACTATGTTGTTGTTGTTTAGTCGTTTAGTCGTGTCCGACTCTTTGTGACCCCATGGACCAGAGCACACCAGGCACTTCTGTCTTCCACTGCTTCCCGCAGTTTGGTCAAACTCATGCTGGTAGCTTCGAGAACACTATCCAGCCATCTCGTCCTCTGTCGTCCCCTTCTCCTTGCGCCCTCCATCTTTCCCAACATCAATATTCAAAATATATCAAACTATTTTTTTCAATTTCCCCAGGGGGAAACGGCTTTGGGGGGGGGGAGGAAAAAAACCTGATTCTTTTCCTATTTTTCCATTTTTTCCCCACGCCTTCCCATCTCTTGCCCTGCAATCCCATCAGCTGCTAAGGGGTCTAAGGACCCCTTTCTCATTGCCTCACTTTTTTGTTATCTGCTTGGAATTCGAGATTTGTTGATCCTGAGGATAAGCAGACAGTATTCCAAGGTCTGGGTGAAAACAAAGCCCCCTTGTTTAATTGGATATCTAGAAAGGGATGAACGCATAGGTTAACATATCTGCAGTGAACTGCAAAGTTGAGAATCAAAATAGCACTTTCCTGAAGTAGGACCTATTAGCCAAAGAAACATTTTAGCAATTACAGATCAATGTGGGGAAAAGTCCTTTTGCTTGATCATATGGCCTTTGATGCTGCCACTTCTGATATCCTAAAATGCTCTTTGTACTCCACAGTAATAGGACAACTGTTTTCACAGTCAAAGATGAAGGAGAAAATTTGTAATGCCTCAAGAAACTACTTGTATGAAAGGCCATCAAACAGAACTATTTCCTCTGTGGATCTATAGCTTTGAAAATAAACCTTACTAAGAAAAAGAAATGGTTTTGAAACAAGATTATTGTATCACATTACTACTATGCATTAATCCTATTTTGTATCTGTTCCTTTAGTTTCTAATTTACATAATATTCTAGTAGGTATGAATAAAATGGCCTGTGTAATCTTGCCCTTTGTTTTTATCGTTTGCTGAGACAGAATGGGTTAGCAGCGATGCTTTAATTTATTTTATAGAAGCAAACTAGTATCACCTTATATTTGGACACAAACATTCATTTGCCAGGGTCATCAACATTTGGTTCAGGACTTAACTGGAGCTGAAGAAAATGTGCAGAAAAATAAGAGGCTATAAAATGTGCTCACAGAGTCCTCAAAGGTCTGACTGACACTACATTTGCAGAACCTAGACATTTAAAAAAAACACACACCAAAAAAGGCAACAACAGAACTAGCACTATCAAAGGCTATGTAAGTCAAATTCCTTTAGTTGTGATTGTGTTATTTGAGTAAAGCAGGATTTTTATGAACTGCTTCTGTAACAGCTTAAACTGAGTCTTCAAAGTGCTAGGCATAAAACAGCTTTTTTATATATAGCTTTAATCATAAAGGCTAGTACCTATAAACAGAGAAATATATTCTTCTTCCCTTATATCTGAAAGGTCAGATATCCATCACATCTCCCCAACTGCCTCTGAGGCAGCATGAGATCACGCTACTCTAACTTCCCGCAATGCACTCTTGATTTATCACTCCTCTAGCTCTTGGCAGTACAACGTTTATTATACGCTGTTCACATAAGCTATGATATATATATGCAGAAAGATAAATTTTAAGGTCCTGTTGTATCTCCTACAGTAAGCCAGGAGTTCTGAAATATTTGAGAAATGTTTCCATCACTCTGAAATGCAATCAGGTGCTGTGAATGGCTTGCGCTCATTGGGTAAAGCATCAAGGTTGGCCTTCAGCATTTAGGCTTCCTACTCCTGATACAACAGGTTACCTCCTCTTTATGATCAATGAGAGGTGGCGGGACATGGCTCGTTCTGCGCACGCTCCCACACATTACATTGCCAGAGTTTTCCCCATAGAAAAGTGCTTTATTCCCCGTTCCAAATGAAGTTACCTCAGCTAAATAGATGAATGTAAGTCCTCTCAAGTTGTCTTCAATTGTGATTTATTAATTTAAGCAGATGGAGAAAGGGAGAAAGAGAAAGAAATAACCATATACATTACTGAGTACATGCTCACAAACATACCTTTGTTTTGCCTTGCACTTTTCATAATTATTTATATTTCTTTCCTTCAGGGTATCTGGAAATTTGGGTACTCAGTGGAATCCAATGTCCTCCATCCCTCCATCCATAGTAGTTTCTGCAATTAATGTTGCTGGCTATGTACTGTAGCTTCAAACTAAAGTAATACAGTACACAGGTTCATACCACATCAATGTAAATAAATACAGTAACATAGTAAGTCTGCGTTTAAGAATAACATTTTTCTTACCAACCAGAGTAGTCTTCAAGCTGATTTTCAAAGCATCTTCTTGTTTGTACGAACCACAAGTCACTACATCAAAAAGAATCAAACCATTGTGGAATACAGCTCAATAATTAAACAGGAAAGACAATGTAAAAAAAGAGACAAACCACAGGGAAGTTATTTCAGTATCAGAATATCAATGCGGAAGCTTCCGTACAAAAAAATACACCCTTCAAAGTCTTACACCAGGATGCAACACTGAATTCAAATAGAAGAAACTC